CCCTGCATCTCAGGGAGCCCAGCTGCCCTGGACATGCTGACAGCTTGTCTTCGTGAGTCTAGCACACGGGTTCCATGGTGTCAGCTTTGTGGCTCTTCAGTCTCTGATGGAAAGGATTCAGTGATGACACCCTCCCCGGTGACAGCTCATTGTGGGTCAGCTGCCCTGGGTGTGCCGCCTGCACATCTGCACATGCTCTTCTTGTGAAGGAGGAAAAGTTGATGACAAGGGTGGGAAAGTCTGGTCGAGCAGTGAGATGCATTTTTCTCTCTGGTGGGATGCAGACCTTACCGAAGGAGCCTTGAAGCCGACGGGAAAGCTGGATTTTAATCTCAGCTCTTTTTGTAGGACATCAGGCAAGTTACCACCCCTTCAAGCTCCGTCTAGCAGGGGACGGACAGTGGTGACCTGATAGGGTGCTCAGGGGGCTTGGTGACCTTCTGAGGAAGTGCCCAGCACATAGTAGGCACTCAGCGAACATGAATTGACTCAAAGAAAAAAAGCCACTGGGTTTACGAAAACATGGAAAACAGCTGAACTTTAGAAGAAAGGTGGGCTGTCTGTTTTCTGGGCTCTGCCGCCAATAACACAGAAGGTTTTCTGTGCACAGTTTACCAGAAAGAAAACTTGATATGGCCGTAAAGACAGGGACGTGTGTGACTGCGCTTGGTTTTTTCAAAGCTTCTCTAGATGAGGGTTCACAGCTGGAGGCTAGAATTCTCTTCCAGAAACTAGAGTCTTAACCAGTGTTCTCTAGCTGGCTCAGCATTTTTTTCCTTGTTAAGTTGGCCCCTCACAATGGGCTTATGAAGATTTGGCTATAAAAATAATTCAGTCAGACTACAAAGTTACATTTTGAAAAGACTTTTTATTGTGGCAAAATACATATAACATGAAACTTACCACCTTAACCATTTTTAAGCCTTCAGGTCAGTTATATTAAGCATATTTACATTGTTTTACAACCATCACCACCATCCATCTCTAGAATTTTTTTGTCTCCCCAAACGGAACCTGCACCCATTAAACATAAAGTCCCCATACCTCCTTCTCTGGGTCCCTGAGCATCTCCATTCAACTTGCTGTTTCTCTGAATTTGACCACTCTGAGTATCTCCTGTGAGTGGAATCTTACAAAATTTGTCCTTTTGTTTCTGGCTTATTTCACTTAATGTTACATCTTCATGGTTCATACTGTGTGTCAGAATTTCCTTTCTTTTTAAGACCAAATACTATTCTGTTTATTGGTCGATGGACACTAGGGTTGTTTCCATCTTTGGGCTGCTGTAAACATTGATATGCAAGTTACATTTTGAACCAGGATGTGCTGTGACCGGCATTCTCCTTAAATTATGAGTCTTCGGGCTAAGATAGTATCAGAAAGATGTTTAAGCTGAGATATTTCATCCAAGGAGCAACTATGTGGGAAATTGTTCACCTGCAGTCTCCAGCCTAAAAAGGCTGACTTGATAGCTTTTCAGATCTGTGCACGTTTCTCTTATTTTCAATCTCAAGGTTTTCCTTTTCGTGGAAGCAGAAAGGAAAGATGCCAGCCTCTAGCTTCTCTGATAACCTTAGTCTCTCTCTGTTTTGGTTTTTTTTACCCCTCCCTGATATCCAGGGAGTGGTAAGGTTTTTGTTAGCAAACCTAGGCAGGTTATGTTCCAAACTGCCAGGGGACTATCGACCCACAGCCTGGCTTGGCCTTGACACACCCATGTACGGACAGTGACTCATGTTTCTGTGTCCCCCTGCGTGTAACTAAGGTCCAGTTCATTGTTAACTGGTGACGCGGCAGACCCAGGATTCAGGAAGTGCCGCAGCCTGCCCAGGGGGCAACACGGGTGCATCGATGAGCAGAGGCGGTTCAGCTAAAACAAAGACTAAGCCTATATTCCACGGGCTTCTTTCTATCAGAGCAAACAGAGCCGACTTGATTAGTAAACTCTGGGCTTTTCTGCCTTTGTCTGGAATGTGCACCCAGGTTGACGTCAGCTGGGGTGTGCCCATCCTCTGATGGAGTTCTCTTCTTTCACACCCCCCGGGGGGCCTGCTCTGTGAACTCAGCAAAAGGGACACAGGGTGCAGTCATCCTTGACATCTGGGGGGGACCTTCCTTCCCCCCGTGGGGACCCGCTTCTGCTGTTTTCACTGGCATTTTATAAATCCTGAGACTTGGAGCAAATCAGCCCCGAGCATTCTCCCCTCACTCCCAGAAACCAAGATGATTAAGGCACCCACCCCAGTGGACAGCCTTCTAGGAGAATTCCGGTCTCCGCACATCTGGGGACTCTCGGGCAAGGACTGTCGCCATGTTATCCCCAACTGACTTAACCGAAAGAAAAAACCTAGATGTGCCTGTTCAAAAAGAGCTGTTCTTTTCATCCCTAAAGTTACACAGAGCTCGGCTCATTGACCCTCGACACCTGCATCTCCCCTGGCTTCAGAAGTGTCTTTTACGGCTCACACTTCTTCAGATCTGCACCCCAGTGAAAACCTCCCTGCCACATGGGAACCTCCTGCCTCGGACTTTCTTAACTTCAGTTTTCCTTGATAGTCGATAAATGCAGCACCTTTTCCTTCTTTCCTTTCAAAATTACACTGCACCCTAATTCCGAGGTTTTCCCCTCACTTTTTTTCCCCCTCACCTTGTTCACTGTTTCTTCCACACGTGTCTATCAAGCGTCTGCTGGGCAGCAGGCACTGTTCCAGGCACACGGGGCTTTTCCATCCTTGCTCTTTGCAAAGAGCCCTGGATTTGAGTGCTGGCTCGGTGA